AACAGGGCCGTGCGCGTCATCGCGCGCACGACCAACGACACAAAAGAGACACACAAAAAAACCGCTTCATAACGCAGATAAAGCGGAAAAAACCCACCAGATCCTCCGCACGTCCCCGCGCGCACAAGCAACAACCGTTTCAAGTCTATGCATGCCGCACGTCGCCGAGAAAGAAAAAAAACACGAAGCGCACGCCGTGCAGGGGGGCACCACGAGCCCAGGGTCGGCCGCTCAAAATGTAAAAGTCAGCGTGCCGTCCGTGATGGTGCCCAGGGCCTGGCCAGCCCCCCACCGCTCGAGGAAGCCGGCCTGCGTGTCCCCGGAGGAGGCGTGATGGTATTCGTACTCCAGCCGAATGCGCGCTTTGAGAAGGCCCCGCAGCATTGCCACCGCCGAGCAGTTCTCGTCGGCGTCACCCTGCAATTTCTTTTCCGGGTCTTGTAGATGGCCATTTTTGCTTGCGCGATGACAAAGTTCGCCAGGTGGTGCCGCCTGCTCGTCAGGTAGGGCACCCCGCAGACAAAGCGGCTCCTGTGGAAGGGAACCCCCAGTTTTCTGAAAACCGTCCGCAGCAGCTGAAACAGTGGGCCGAGTCGCGGGCACCCCAGATACTGGTGAGCCGGGTCCTCGACCGCGTCACTTAACTCGATGCCCCGGGGGCGATCTTGCTTAGCCACGCGGCAGAGGGCAGCGTCCAGTGCACGAGCCTCCATTGGAGATCCCCGCAGCGCTTCGCCACGGGGGACTTGTAAAAGCACTCCCACTGGGGGTGGGCCTCGGTCAGGGTGGGGAAGAGGGCCCTCCATTTGGTGTCCGGGAGGTTCGCCAGCTCCGTGCGGTGGAGCACCTTCACACAGCGCTCGTACAGCACTTTCTTTGGGGCGCTCTCCAGAGCCACGTCCTTGCAATTGTCGAGCCGTAGCGGCTTCCCCGCGTCGCAGCACCCGGGGGGTTGCGCGCAGGAGTCGAGCAGCCACGGAAAGGGGGGGGGGCTGCGCGGCACCACCGTCTTCCGGCGCGTCCAGCGTCAAGCGCAGCTCCCGCATCGTCTCGAGCGCCTCCCGCAGCAGCTTTTCCCCCGTGAGCGCGGTGCGGAGCCCCGCGCTGACTTCCGCTGCGGATTTCCATGTAGGGCGGTGGTCGTGGCTCCTCACGAGGTCGCCGACCCTCCGCACCCCTGCCGCGGTGAAGCGGAGGGCCGGCGTCCTCTCCTCCCTGATCCCTTCGAGGAGTCTGTTAAAGAACATGGGCTCGCGCAGGAACTGCGCGAGGTCGCCTCACGCAGGAACTGCGCGAGGTCGCCTCGCGGGCTCGCTCTGTCCCACGCGAGACTCCGGCATGCGTCCAGTAGGCTCCGGTGGTACTCTGGCAGCCCCGTGTAGTCAATGAGGCTCAGGTCCAGCAGGAGTAGCTCGCTCCCATACCCCAGGTGCCCGCCCGCACCTCTCATCAGGCTGAGGGCCGGCGCCGTCCAGGGGAGCTCCCCCCGTTCGTATAACAGGCGCCTCGCGGCCTGGAGCCTAAAATACATGACCTTGGCGGTGACGTCAACCAGGCCCTGACCGCCCTCGCGCACTGGCAGGTGGAGGACCCCTGGCTTCATCCAGTGCTTGCCGCCTCAGACGAAGTGGACGAGCGAGCGGTTCGTCCCCCGGAGCAGCCAGTCGAGGGGCTGGAGGACCTTAGCCCTGTGCCATAAAATCGATGCCGCCAGGTTGTTACCCAGCAGCACTCGCCCCCTGAACGACATCGGCAGGGCTAGCCGCATCCACGCCGCCAATATGGCCTCGAACACGTCCCTCAGTTCCGTCCAGTTTGTCTGGATCGCTCGAGGCAATCCGAGGTGAACCCCCAGATATTTCACTCCCTCGTCCTGCCACGCGACTCCCCCCGGGAGGAGCACGGAGCACACGGCACCCCGCGACCCCAGGCAGAGGGCCTCGCACTTCTGCCAGTTGACTTTAGCGCCGGACGCTTGCTCGAAGGTCGCCACCGTCCGGCAGAGTGCTGAGAGGTCTTGTGCGTCGTTAACCGCGCCGCACACGTCGTCTGCATAAGCAGACACCTTGACGGCTACGTTTCCCGGGCCTGGGATCGCGAACCCGGGCAGAGCGTTCTTCAGCCGGCGTTTCAGCGGCTCAATGCTCAGAGCATAGAGGAGCCCCGAGAGAGGGCACCCCTGCCTGACTCCCCCCGTCACGGGGAAGGGGGAGCCAAGCCGCTGGTTAATTTTTACCAGGCCGGACATTCCCGTATACAGGAGCTTTATGTACGCCCGAAAGTTCTGTCCGAAACCTAGAGAGGCGAGCAGCCTCCCCAGGTACGCGCGGTTGACTCTATCAAAAGCCTTCTCCCAATCCATGAAGAGGAGGCCCGATTCTGCATCATGGGTTTCGGCGATGGAGATTGCATCCCTGAGCATGCCAATGTTGTCGTAAATGCACCGGCCAGGGATGCAATATGTCTGCTCGGGGCTAACTAGCTGCCCCACGACCGTCTTAAGCCGGTTTGCCACAACCTTGGCAAAGATTTTATAGTCTGCACACAAGAGGGAGACGGGCCGCCAGTTCTCGATTTGTCGCAAATCCCCCCTCTTGGGCAGCAGGGTGATTACTGCCCTCCTGCAGCTCTGTGGGAGCTCTCCCTCCCGCAGGCTCTCCGTTAGTACCTCGAGCAGGCGGGGGGCAATCTCGTCCCAAAAGGCCGTGTAGAATTCCGCTGGCAGGCCATCTAACCCAGGGGCCCTACCAGCTGCGAGGCCGCTCACAGCGGTGCGGAGTTCGGCCAGGGTGACGGAGCCGTCCAGGCGCTCGCCGTCGGAGTCCCCGAGGGTGGGGCCCCCGTCCAGCAGGTCCCGGACAGCCTCATCGTGTATCTCGACCGCCCTAAAGAGTTCAGCGTAATAGCCCCTCGCGACCCTGGCGATCTCGTCCTCGTCCGTGGCTACCTCCCCCTTCGGGGTTCTTAGGCCCAGAATGCTCCTGCTAATCGGGACGATCGCGTTCCTCCTCGTCAACTTCTCCAGCCGGGCGTGCTGCGCCATGATGGCGGCCGGCGGCAGCACGCCTGTGCACGTGGTCGCTGTTGTTGCTGTTGTAAACCCACGAGCCGCTCGAGGTGGATCACGCTCGAGAGGCTCGGTGTGCGGAAAATAAAGAAAATAAAGTAAAGAAGGGAAATAAAATCGAATGAGGGAGGGGATGAGGGGAGTTACGATGTTTAAATCTTCTTTTGAAGCCTCTCTCGGGCTTGGCCTAATTGATGGGAAAGACTAGGCCTCTATTGCGCCAAGTCGGAACCCGGGAGCTCCACCTGGACGCAGCCACCTCCGCGCATGCGCAGAGAGAGAGAGACACACAGAGACAGAGAGAGACAGAGAGAGAGACACAGAGACAGAGAGACAGAGAGAGAGACAGAGAGACACAGAGACAGAGAGTCACAGAGACAGAGAGACAGACAGAGACAGAGAGACACAGAAAAACAGACAGACAGAGACAGAGAGACACAGAGACAGAGAGAGACATAGAGACACAGACAGAGGCACAGAGAGACACAGAGAGACAGACAGAGACAGAGAGACACAGAGACAGAGAGAGACAGAGACAGAGAGACACAGAGAGACACAGAGAGACAGACAGAGACAGAGAGACACAGAGACAGAGACACAGCGAGACAGAGAGAGACAGAGAAAGAGACACAGAGACAGAGAGAGACAGAGACACAGAGAGACACAGAGATACAGACAGAGAGAGACACAGAGACAGAGAGACACAGAGACACAGAGACACAGAGACAGACAGAGACACAGAGAGACAGACAGAGAGACAGAGAGAGACAGAGAGAGACACAGAGACAGAGAGACACAGAGAGACAGACAGAGAGACACAGAGACAGAGAGACAGAGACAGAGAGACAGACACGCACAGAGAGACACAGACAGAGACAGAGACACAGAGAGACATAGAGAGACAGAGAGACACAGAGAGACACAGAGACAGAGAGACACAGACAGAGACGCAGAGACACAGAGACACAGAGACACAGAGACAGAGAGACACAGAGACACACAGAGACAGAGAGACAGAGAGACACACAGAGACACAGAGACACAGAGACAGAGAGACAGAGAGAGACAGAGAGACACAGAGACAGAGAGACACAGAGAGACAGAGACAGACAGAGAGACAGAGACAGACAGAGACAGAGAGACAGACACAGAGACAGACAGAGACACAGACAGAGACACAGAGACAGAGAGACACAGAGAGACACAGAGACACAGAGACAGAGAGACAGACACGCGAGACGAGTGGAGCGGAGTGTGGCCACAGGGCGGCGCGGTGTGGAGGGCGGGCAGAGGTTGCAAATGTTTCGAGTGTTTTTGCAAATAAATTTGCAATAACTTTGATTTTGCAATGTCAATTATAACTGCCCCCCTCCCCGTGACTGTTAGAGGTATATGCCTTGTAATGATCTTCCCTAATAGAGCGAGGTGGCTCAAAAACCCGCTCGTTTTCCACTCCAATGTGGAACATTTATTTCTTGGTATTGTGACCGGGAAATTTGGACAAAATGTTTTCATTTCATGAAGTAGTTACTCTGATTGTCGAGGCATTTATGCGACAAAAAGTTTGGAAATTGGCGCGTATTTTCTGAGGTAAATATCACGCGCGGTTTCCCTCAGACGTTGGTGAAGTCGCCAAATCCGAGGAGGAACTGAGGCGCGTTTACTCTAGAAATGTGACCGATTGTTCCCACTTTTTTTCGCGAAATCAAACAAAGTCATTATCTTCAAACAATGCTGTAGAAATTATTAGGCTGAGGGATTGTGATAATTATTTTTTTTTTACACGGAGAGACGAATATGTGCAGGCGGCGTATTTTCTGCATATCTATGTCAGTGATCTTCATGGGGGTTTGACAGCAGCACGATGATGCGGTGTTGTGCATTGTCGGAGGCCGCACTGAAGGCCACTAGGGGCCGCCAGTGGCCCGCGGGCCTTGCAGTGAAGAACCACTAACCTGTTCTCCACAGCGACACTTAAGTCGTGGTTGTAAAATGTTATCATTATTTTGAGTTTGTATTTACGCCCCCCATCACGGTCGCGTTCCCGCCACCCGGCAGCCAATCAGCGGCGCCGTTGCTGCCGCGCGCGGCTCGCCTCAGGCAATCGGGGGCCGTGGCAGAGCGTCCCGTGTCCTGCTGCTACAGGGCGGGGGGTGACCGGCACCATTCCGTTCGGCCCTGTCGTCATCTCTGTAGAGAGAGAGAGAGACGAGGAGACGAGGTGGACGAGGAGGAGGTGGAGGTGGAAGACGACAGAAGAGCGAGGAGGTGGAAGACAAGAGCGAGGAGGAGGTGGACGAGGTGAGGAATTGCGGTAGCATCGGGGCGGGAGGCCGGGGCCTAGGTGAGGCCTTGCGTCTTAAACTCAAATATTAGTTTAGTTTAAACTAAAACTCAAATATAAAACCTGAGAGACCAAATAACAACAACAACGCATCTTGGTGCTGTTAGCGAGCACCTATGAAGGCTGGACGACCGACAGGGATGGATTGCCAACACACGCGCGGACACCTTTGTATCCCCAGTGCTGATGCCCACACCGTACCAGGTACTCATGCAGAGTCGACCTAGGGGAGACCCAGGACCGGTTCAAATATTCGCCACTGTTGGTGAGCGGGAATTGAACTCGAGTCGCTGGGTTTCATAACGCAGTGCTCTAATCACTACACTACCAACAACAACAACCGCCGTTCACTAAGTGGAGGTCACATCGCCACGGCGCTTGTGCCATGCTAGGTGCACTGAGGCCACGTGGATTGTCGAAGGCCCACTGGCAGGTCACGTTGACTCCCTGAGATGACCGGCAGATGCACCAACTGTGCTTCCTGCTGTGCCCATTCTGCGTTTTAGCCACCCAGCTCACCGCTCTTTGTTACGAGTGTCGCTCTTCTGCCCTCATTTGTTGCTGGAGGGCGACTGCCTCCCAACAGTCCAGTAGCGTCCTTCACGATCCTCCTCCATAGAGGCCGATCTTGAAACTGCTGGTACCAGCCGTCGGCAAGTCCACTCAGCTCCACATCTTTCTGCACCACATCAATCTCTTCTCTAGCTCGTGCCGCGCCTGTTTAGTCCCCTCTAACCTGCCGAACATAAAGAAGCTGCTCGGGCGTGCGGTGCCTGGGCATGCGGGCGACATGACCCAGTCAACTTAGCCTCGTTTGCCGGAAGAGTTCACTGATGAGACTGTCCAGATCTTTGTGAACTCCTCACAATCCAGTCTGGTTAAACCCAGGATGGATCGTAGGCAGACCAGCATGTTTCATGATAAAGTTTTTTTGGTCAGATCGCGTAAGTATAAATGTGTCGTAACCCTCCACCACCCGACAATTAGTTACTGCTTCAGCCTGCAGGTGTTTGAGAATAAATCCACAACATTTACAATTTGAATAAAACGTTTCGCTGGTAATTACATCCAACATAATCGGGGTATTTGCCAGAATAATGAAGCCATCCACCTGCTTCTGGTCTTAGAGCAAGAGGACGTCGTCACTGAACCCATCAGGTGCAGAAATCGTAGGCGGAGAAGGGGGGTTATTGTACTTGTATAATAGATTAGTATTAATTTAATTATTATGTGTTCCCTCTATAAGTTTAACATACATAGATGTAGAATCTAAAGTGCCGTGGATCTGTAGAATCTATAGCTATATGGGTTCTGTAGATTCTATAATTAATGAACTATAGTATCTACATGGTGCAAATGTAGAATCTATAGTGATGTAAATTTATAGAATCCATAGCATTATGAATTTTATAAATATATAGCGGCACAACAATAGACTATACATTGGTGTGAATGCACAATATAAAGTGTGATTATAGAATTTACAATTATGTAATGTTGTAGAATCTATATCAATATAAAACTATAGGCTATGATTTTTTATAAACATAAACTATTTTTATTCTTAGTCGTAGACGTTGATTCGTGTATTGTGCTCCATGCTGTGTCTTTTGGAAATCAGTCAGTCATTTTATTTAATCAGCTGGACTTTTATGAAGATGAACTGACAAAATTTCCACCAATTTGTCTCTCAAATATTGCCTATCACTGTGAGTATTTACAGCAAATTGAACATTGCTGGGGTTTTTTCGAAGAAAGAATAAAAAATATCCTGTTTGTGGATGACCAGTGCTGTTTTCATTTTGATGAATGGTTTTCGATGGACAAATGGAAGGTAAGCCTGACCGTTTCTCTGTTACCGTATTCCGTTCATACCATTGCTCGCTCTGTTCTGATTTGCAGCCTCTTAGCACCGCGCCCCGCAGTGGCACACAGGAGCCACTGCCCAAGGCACGAGTGGAAACGGCAGCACAGGTCCCGCCTAAGCCAAACCATTAATCTAAACACGTTGCCTGGCCCAGCGCTAAGACTCTAGGACTCGCTTTCTTCCCGATTCTGCGAATCGCTGTGACCAACCGTACCACCACCATGCACCGGCCACCAAAGCTAGCCACTTTTGGCAATGTGCGCCGCCCGCCGTCACATATGGCGCCGGGCGGACCATCATCGTGGGGCCACCCCTCTCAGCGGCCCTGCCCAGGTGGGTTCCGGCGCTCTGGGTCCCCACCGTGGAAGATGGCACGCGTGGAGGAAGAGCCACACGCGATGCACCGGCGTTACGAGCAGGGAGAGCCATACGGAGCACCGGACCCGTACGCGCGCCAGTCCCACCACCACGAGCACGAAAACTATGGCATCCACGAAGGTCAGTACCATACCGACGAGCTTTACCAGAGCGAGGAAGGCTACAGGGAGGAAGAAGAGGAGGAAGCCTATGAGATGGAGGCCCCCTATGTTAGGGAGCCGCTGGACAGGTTTCCAGGCCCGGATAAGGCTAGCACGCGGAATGAAGCATTCTCGGAGAGGTGGAGAATTGCGCCAAGGGACGACCCCCACTACGACGACCCCTACAAACACGATGGCTACCCCGACGTGCCCGAACCGCCACGCTTGTACGAGCGAGTGCTCGGCAGACGCCCACCCATGGAGGCCTGTGACCAGCATTCCCCAGTCCGGCCAGGTTTCTCCGAAGCAGACAGGCAGGAGCAGGACGACCGCGAGACGGCCACCGACCTGCTCGTTAACTTTGGCGGATACTCGGGCCCGCACCGGCGCCCATCCAGCGCGCCCAACCGTAAGCAACGACTGGCGGCGCTGCTCACCAGCCTGGGCCTCACGCTGGACGACCTCCAGGACCTGGACACGTTCGGCGAGGAGGAGCTGACGCCTGGCCGCTCGCTCGAGATCCTCAGAGACATCAGCAATCGCAAGCTGATGAACGTCGCGTGCACCGTGATGGGAAGCAGCGAGGCGGCGGCCGCCGTCTCCGCTATCACCGCCACCACCACCGCCACCTCCCCCAGGAAGTCAGCGACGACAGCGACGGCGATTGTGGAGGAAAAACGGCCGAAGGTGTGGGACTACACGCATGGAGGAAAGGACACGTACTCTGGCTGCCCCTCCCCTCAGCAAAAGAACGACTACTTTGGGCGCCGACCGCCAAAGTTCCCGCACACCTGCTGCATTTGCAACAAACCCCTGAGCGGGATCCGGGTAAGTGTTTTGCATGTCGAGCTAATCCCTTGAGCTGCGACGCAGCGTGTTTTGCCAAACTTTGCTGCCTCCCCCCGTTGCAATTTGTTTGGGTTAAGCTGGGGGATTTTTTTTTGTCTCCCAAGTTATATCCGTCTTGCGTTGTGCTCGGCATCATATGATCATTAGATGATGAAGTTTGTATTTTAAGCGCTTTCAGTAGAGCAATCCACTTGCCTTATGTCAGAAAATGGCTCCAGGAGATGACGTCGGAGCTGCTTCTGAAGTAATTTCAGTTGCCACTTCAACCGTGCGAGCTGGTGTGCCTCTTCTATGCCCTGCAAAGAACGTACGTCACGTTCCAATAGAACCAAGATACAGGCGGTCCCCACTTTTACGACAATGCATTTCTGGAAACCCCGTCATAAATTGGATCGTCGTAAATCGGGACCATATTTTTTTCCAACGACAGTCGAAAACATTAGAAACATAACTTTGCAATGTATTTTTCTTCAGCCCATTTTAACAGGGTTTAATAGGTAAAAATCCACAAAAATACTTGAGAATAACAAAAGCTCCACACCAAGTCATATCGGAAACTAGACTGACTCTTCAATTGTGTTCGGAGTCATGTCGGAAGATGATTCGTAAATCAAGTTTCTGTGTCGTAAAGCGATAAATGATGGCATATAAACGTTGTAAATGTGGATCTTAGTAAATTCGACCGTTGTAAGCCGGAGACCACCTGCATTTGGTAATTTAAGCAGGAATTTGTCGATTTAAGTGACAATACAAACTTAAACTAACGAAGCGCACAATATGCCCCTTCATTTATCTGTTCCGCCACAAAAAACTTTTTTTTATTCATCCCATCAGTCATACGGCCTTGTGGCAGTGCATAATTTCAGCACCATCAGTTCAACACAAGTATAACTCTGGACTGGTATTGGCATTCAGTCAGGGTTGCTTGAACAAATGCTGGCTAACTGCCAAAGATAACACAAAAATTTTTCTGCGTGCATTGGATAACACCATTAAGTCACTGCACTTGAAAACCCGTTATAATAATGGGTGAACGAAACCCTGTTATGAAGCCAGGCTCCCAACAGTATCAGGCTCCCAACAGTATCAGGCTCCAGAGTCATCTGGCCACCTCCTGGTTAAACATTTAGGATTGCCCTGTAGAGGATGAATGTTGAGCAGGGCAAAAGTAAGTCAGTCAGTATCATTTATTTAACCAAGAGATTAAATTAGCCCATTTACTTCACGTGTAGGTTTTTGTAGCCAATCTTATGATTATTTTATGGGTTAAATGTCCACATTATTATTAGACAAACTTTCTTTTGTTTAGACCCTGCACCACCTGAACAGCCAAACAAGTTATATTGTCACATGTGCAAGTGATTAATATGCCACTTATTGTTTCAACTCACTGGTAGGTTGAACAGTTCTCACAACCAAATTAGTCTATATTTAGCTCATGACTAAATTTGATTTTGAGAACCGTTTTTCAACAATAATTTTCGGATTAAACACGTGCACACATAACGCATTTTTTTGGTTCTGTCGGGTGGTGGAGAGTCTTAATGACACAAATTTGGTCAGATCATTTTGTGGCCAAACGCTAAAAATAATTATGAATCATAAACCCATTGAAACACTTTAAACATTTCCTTAAGAATAACCTTCTGAACACATGGAGTATGTGTGAGTGCTCCAAGAGGTAAGTGCATCAGGTAGGTGTAAAATTTATTTTTGTACAATTCAATGTACACATGTGTAAAACGCACAGGGATACACACCCGTGTCCATGTATACAAGAGGCCGCGTGCTGTTACAAAGTGCGCCTGCGGTGGCAAGTGTGCACGTGCACACCCGCCCACCCGCTTACACTTTCATACACAACATGAACAGACGCCATACGCACGCACCTGCTCAGCCGACAGCCCTCGCAAAACGCGCGCCAGAAATCCTAATCTGTGTTTATTTGCCGCGAAAAAATCCCCGAGGATGTAATATTCAACTCCGCAGGTAAGTGTCGGGATTTTAAAACGTTTTTTTCCTTTGTGATTCTGTACAATGGCTCTCTGGCTTGCTGCTTAGCACCTCTACGCGATTAAATCCCCGTGTGTTTAGGGGAGATTCTTAAGTCTCCACTTAGTGTGTGAGCCTCTCACCTGACACCTGCTTTACGTACACATGCTCCTCCACAATCACTTTGTTATTGTTTGTGTGAGCACTTGGACTTATTTTACGCCCACTTATTTAAAAACTCTTGTCTTTCATAAAGTTTTGCTTTTTCTCCGTACTTTGTCTTGACATTCAAAAACCTATATATGTATGAAATACTTTTTTAACCTGTTTATTTTAAACATTTCAAAAATGGAAAGATTATCAAGTTGTCATCAAAGGTAGGTGTTTTCTCTGAAGCAGTTTCAACATTTGGTAGCTTTCGTGACTAGTAAACTTGATGAGGTGGTTTTCCACTGGCTATTCACTGGGCCGAGCCAGAACCAAGCCATGCTAAGCTGACCAAACAACGCATCTGAATCTGACTCGCATCAAAGCGATGTTACGAGTGAGGCTAGTGAAGTGTATGTTGCGTGCGACATCGGTACATGGCGAGGACACAGCATTACCGCATCATCTACGTGCTTCTTGACGTCGAGAATTGCGTGTGGGAGCACGGTTCGGTTTGTGCAGTGGAAAAGGACCTGCGTCACACCGACTCGTGATGCGGCATGGCCCCAACACAGCTTGGATGTTCCAGTGGAAAAGAGGCATTGGATACAGTTGAACTTATCGCAGTTACTTGGCATGGAATATTTTTCCCTGTTGGCTTTTGGGGCCCTTTATAGGTGACCTTGGCTAACGACCGCCCCCCTCGCCATGTGCCTGCGCAGGACTGGACAAAGCACATTACTGGACGCATTCACCAGGCCTCTTGCGAGTTCATCAAGGAAAAGTGAGTGCACAAACTTGTTTGTCTCATCCAACAGTGGGTTCACCATCCAGCAGTGGATCACCAAATTTAACTCACCAATGTGGTGAAGTATGTTAAAACAAAAAAACATGATCGACATGGTGTGTTGGAGACTTTCAACCAGCAATGGATTGGCAAAGGGCTCATTTATTTTTCATTGATAATCGCCAACTCGTCTTTAGACTACAGTCTAGTCGTTGTGTTTGTGAGGATTATGACCTGCGGCACAATAACTGTGTGCAGTGTGAAGCCGTGTGATTTGTTGAATGACAGCCACACCCTCGCTCACAATGTGCACTAATACAACCACCCCACAACACTTGAGGCCTGCTTCCACCTTTTGAGTGCATCCATTTGCTTTAATTAGCAGCACATTATTTTATTTGCGTGAAGGGTTTTTTTCCCAAAACTTCACCTTGAAGCAGGCCATAAGACACACGGTCAAAGTCAAAAGTGGTTTTCTTCTCTATTGAAAATTGAGGCATCGGTACCCATTTCCCGTTTACAGTCCTGCATAGCCATTGTTGGAAATTCTTTATTCCTATGGTGGAGCTAAGTCTTTCCATAACATAACCACTGTTTGACTTCCCCCCACAAAGTGGTATTAATTTTATCGACCCCAGAGAGGAGTGATGATGGGCAAGAGGGCAACCCCTTAAGCAAGATTTGAACACTCAACCTTCCAATTGCGAGCTTTACTGCTGAGCTACCCTGGCCGGTTAAAAGCCGCATGGATGCAGGGAGGGGAGGATTAATCAAAAAGTAAAAGCACGGAACTGTTATAGCTAAGACAAATTGGTGTTTGTGAAGAAGGATAATTGCCCACAATATCAACTCCTTATCTTTCCATTATAAGGCAGTGTAAATGACGAATGTGGCCAGCGTTTTATGATGGCATTGTGCTTATATTGAAGTATATGTGCAAAAAAGGAATTGCTGTACCGTTTTGAGTTATTTCTTTAACAACAGTGCCTAAGTTCGATTATTGCTATGTTTGTAATTTTTTTTTTAGATATCCATTGTGGAAGCCGGAGAACTGGTACGAAAAGAGGTGAGTGAAGAAATGGCGAGTTTTCCCATAGTTTCTCTTTGCAATGGACTTTCATAGCTCAGTAGACCCATACACAACCTCCTGCTGCTCACGATAGAAGCAGTAACACTTATGATGATGATGATGATAATAATGATGTTTAGTTTAATGTAGCGTCATCATTCAAACTGTATCTCAGAATCGCAAAGGAACCACAGACAATCTGGAGGGAAGCAGGCAGGTAATCGGCCGGCGCTATCAACAATTTCCCAAGTTCTGCAGTCCCTCAAGCAATTATATTTCATTCTTGTTTGTATATTAAGAACAATTCTAACAATTACATTTAGTATATTTTTATTATTAGTTTTATTATTACACTTGTATACCCAGGAAAGTCTCATAGGGTCTTAAGACTTTTTGAGGAAGGGTCATGCCAAGTGATCACAGTAGTGGGGCGATTTTGCTTTGTGTAATCCCAGTTGAGTCATTTTCAGATAATATTTTAGCACGAGGATGTTTTGTGACTTTCTGACTAGCCCCTACTGCACATCTGTGAAAAAAGAGCTTCATAGCTCATCGGATTCCTCGAGGATAAATAAAGATTATGATTTGCCCAATATCAGTTACATTGTGAGGGTTTGTAGAGCTTTGGGAGGAAACAGGAGAACCCAGAGGAAACCCATACAGAACAGGGGGAGAGCAAACAAACTCTACACAGAATGGCACCAGTGTCGGAAATCACACGCAGGCTAAATTTAGTTGTCAGGCACAAGTGTAACTGCTCTGTCACCCCTGTTTAATTTCTAAATTTGGTTGAGAAAATTGTTCTTCACCTTACCGGTGTGAACTGACGTAATAATACTTGTCACATTAAAGGCTTGTACACACGTGCCGATTTAATATGTTAGGCTTTATCGGGTGGTGGAGGGTTGTGCAGCAAAAATTGGTTTCGGTCGTTACGTGGCCTAAACCAAACATCGATTATGAATCATAGCATTGGCTGTGAAAACCCGCTATGTGTTGAAATAACCAAATTGTTTGATTATTTTATGGATCTCTTTACCTGGACTCCAATCCTAACTTTTGTTCACCTCCTCCTTCTGATGTATTTTTTAAAAAGCAAAAGCAGCGAACAGAAAAATAACAACAGCAAAGAGAAGGCAGAAAATGCTGACGGCACCAGTGAACCCGCGGTCAACACCGCCGTGGTGGAGATGGAGCTGGAAAGCGATACGGAAGAGGATAGCACCGCGACCTCTGCCAAAGTTGATGTCGGTGTGAGCGGTGTGGCCGGAATGTCCAGTGGGGCCAACATATCCGGTGGAGCCGTAACAGCTGATACGGACAAGATAGCTGGTGGGCCCAGGATGACCAGTGGGGCTGGGATGTCCAGTGGGCCCAGGATGACCAGTGGGGCCAGGATGTCAGGTGGGGCTGGGATGACCACTGGGGCTGGGGTGTCTGGTGGGGCCAGAATGTCAGGTGGGTCCGGGATGACCGGTGGGGCTGGGATGTCAGGTGGGTCCGGGATGACCGGTGGGGCTGGGATGTCAGGTGGGGCCAGGATGACCGGTGGGGCTGGGATGACCAGTGGGGCCAGGATTACCAGTGGGTCCGGGATGTTTGGTGGGGCCAGAATGTCTGGTGGGACCAGAATGTTAGGTGGGGCTGGGGTGACCCGTGGGGCTGGGATGTCCGATGGTTCTGGATTATCTGGTAGGGCCATCATGTCTGGTGGGCCTGACGGTTCTGATAGACCTATCATGTATGGTGGTAGTGATGACATGCCTGGTAGCGCCAGGATGTATGGTGGTACCGGGAACATCCCTGATAGGGCTGGATCATCTGGTCGTGGCGAAATGCACAGTGATGGCAGTATATCCGATAGAACCGGCAAGTCTGGTGGGACCGACGTTCATGATAGGTTCAGCATGTATGCCAGCGCCAGAATGTCTGGTGGTGGTGACACATCTGGTATGGTCAGGATGCCTGGTGGTACTGGTGTTAGTGACCGTTCCGGCATGTACGGTGGTTCCAGTGTGTCTGGTAGGTCTGGTATGTCACCTCGTGGTACTGACATATTTGGTCAGACTGGGATGTCCGGTAGGGCTGGGATGTCTGGTAGGGATGGAATGTCCGGTAGGGGTGACATGGTTGGTATGACCAGGGTGTCTGGTAGTGGTGCCAGAATGTATGGTGGTGGCAATGACATGCCCGGTAGTGACATGCATGGTGGTGGAGAAGCATACTGTGATGACACTGCATACAGCAGTGACCGTAGTGGAGCCGGTATCGGTGCGTACGGTGGATACGACAGAGGCCGAAATTACAGTGGATCCGAACCAGCCAGTAGCAGCAACGCCGATGAGTTTGGTAGCAGGGCCAGCAGGTACTCTGTAGCCAAGTCGTACCGCGGTGATAATGTGTACGAGTACAGCCAAACTGATGATTACGGTGGAGTCAGCGGCAAAGGTTATGTAGCCGACACATACGGTAAAAGTGACGGTGTGTACAGGAGAGCCGGTGGGGGCAGGGTGGATGGGTTCGGCAGTGAAACTGACCTGTATGGTGGTGGTGATGATGATTCTGGTGGTGGTACATACTTGGGGGAGAGAGTCTCTCTCAGCTCTTTCAGTGGATCGCAGACATCTGCCGGTGCCGACATTTCCGGTGTAGCACGACTGTCCTATGGATCAGACGGTGTGTCTGGTCCTCGAGGCATGTCTGGCTCTGCCAAGATGTCTGGCCTCGATAGTATGTCTGGTCCTTCTCGTACTTCTGGAGGAAACAGATTTGCTAGGGCCACCGATCATGCCAGCATTGGCGCCCCATTCCTGCCAAAATCTCACGACATGGTGAGCTGCACATCGCACGCTCCGTGGGAAACCGAGGAGCACGACGGTGGCGATGACGGCGGCGGCGGCAACGGCAGCAGCGCCAGAGCTGGTTTCGTTACCGGTGCTGAACCTGGTCCTGGCTACGAACGATGGTGCTTCTCTCCGCCGCAGCAGAGCCACAGGGTGGCGCTACCGCCACCCCCGGAGCGGCACGGCATGATGACGGGCAGGAAGCGCTGTCTTTTGGAGGAGAAGAGCGAAGACTGCGACAAGTGGGGCAGTGTAAGTCTCCTACCCCACTCTGGCCATTGTGGAAAGTGTCAATATCCATGTAGCGGCTAAGAAGCCGTGTCGCAATTAAGAAGCGATGTCAGGAGACGCGGTTATTCTGACTTCCTGGATTCCATCCCTAAGTTGGTTTGCGTAGTTGCAAAGGAAATGTCATGTATCTCATTGCTAACTTTGGTTCTGAGAAATTATTCTTCAACTTACTGGTGGGAGCTGAAACAATAATCAGTGCATTAAACTCTTGTACCCGTGAACATTTAACTTATTTGGCTGTGTTAGACTGTCTCCCAGACACTGTTTCCTTGTTTCCTCTCATCCACACTGCATTCAACAACTACACACTTAACCACACTGCAGGCCAAAACACTTTTCTTTCTGCTTCTTCCCTCGTGCTAGATTTTGGAATAATCAATTTTCCCAAGTTCTTGTAACCTTGCTCGATTCAGGAAACGTGTTAACTACTATATTTAAAGTTTGATGTGTTGTTTGCTGTTGGCTGTTTGACGTTTTGGGACATTGGACATGTGCTTAGCAATTGTGAGGGGTAAAAAAAATCACCATTTTCAAGATGTCGAGGGGTGCATTCCTCTACAAATATCTCAACCTTTTCCAGTCCTACCGTCTAGTGCAGTGGTTTCCAACCTGTAAACCACAGACCACAGGTGGTCTGCAAGGCCATGGGAAATTTTCTGCGGAACTGTCCCAGGTACACTTTTTTTCGTCTAATTTATATATATTTTTTAATATACTGCTTGGTGGAAATCTTGGATGGCATCAACAACAGGAGAATGAAGAAGTCATCAGAAGGTGAAAGAAGAACTGTTTTGGACACATTCTGTGACGATGTAGTTTGATGAAAGACATTACAGAAAGAGGAACGGAAGGAAAAATAATGAGAGAAAGGCCAAGAATGGGGAGGAAGAAAGGGGTCATTTGTGGAAATGAAGAAGATGGAGAGCAGAATAGGATTGAGAATAGGATGGAGAATATGGCAGCCAAGGACCTGCTGTTGAGACAGAGCACCAAATGATAAGGTTGTAAGTTAATCTTTTTATTTGAGGATCGACAGTGGACCGTGAGTCCGAAAGTATTTTGGAACCACCGCTCGAAAGTATCCCCCAGCAAGCCCTAACCTCTTACGATATTTCCTATCCAGTTCTGTTGCCTTCTTTGAACGGTTGCCATCGGGTTTCTACCCAGATGATACTCGAATGTAAACCCAGGATCTTGGCGATGCCGGTCTGTCAGACGTAACATGACACAGCTGTGCCGGGAGATTGCCGGCGAGGCGGTGAGCGTTTGAGCCGTGTTCTGATCCCTGTGTGTCCATCTTCTCTGTCCTCTTCGCTCTGACAGGACATCCCAGCGAGTGGCGACCGCCACAGTGGTGAGAGGGCGCGACTCGGCCCGTATCGCAGCACCATGCTCGCCTGGAAAGACGAATACAACAGCAGCGGTGGCGGTTGGCGCGCTGATGCACGCTAACTATTTGTGTAATGATTCGCCCGCACATAGGTGGCAGGGTGACGCGGTGGTAACCGCTCGTGCCTCGCAGCAAGAATGGCCTGGATTCGATTCCCGACTCGCACACCTTTCTGCGTGGAGTTTGTACGTTCTCTCACCCCCTGTTCTGCATGGGTTTTCTCTGGGTTCTCCAGTTTCCTCCCATTGCTAAAAACTGTACAATTTAACTGGTGTTGGCCAACCATCCCAGTATAAAATAAATACCTACACCTTACTCAATTGAGATCACACAGCACCAACATAACCCTCTCCTGCAAAAACTTGGCATGACCCTTCTGAATAAGTGTGTTGAGACTCAGTGAGGCTTTTCCTGGGTAGATAAGTGAACTCATATGTACACTCACCCACGATTAGTCATGATTGGGAGCCGCGATTCCATTCCAGGATCAAGTGATTTATTTCGGTTATTACTGCCTTGTTACCGTTGCTCATTTGTTCCACCATGTTTGTACAGTCTCATTCGTTTCAGTATACTGAATGTAACACAAACGTGTAATCTGCACAAATTGTAAATAAATAATTCCCCATGCATAATGTTATGCATGTATCAAATGCATAAACATTTTTCTGATAATTGTTTCCTATTTAACAACGACCATACCCACTGAGAGCTATGCTGGAAATGCATTCCCCAAACAGATTTGTACACCCCTCCCCTGCCAAGTACAGATTCACTTTTATAGTCTCTCTGTGATGCATTCAGTGCAGTAATATATGTGTTACAGAGATGTCAATAAATCAATTGGTGCTCTTGGCTGAATTGGGACATTGGTAAACCAGTAAATCAGCAGCCACTCCTGTCGGACCACTAGTGTCAACATTATTTCCAATGGCGAGCACATTTCATTGCTCACAGGTCACCCGCTGCAAGATCTCGCACAGTGCAGCAGCCTTTCTCCAGCAGTGGGCAGAGTACGAGGTGTCGCACGGCCCGCATCTCGCTACAGCAGTTGCAGCAGCTCTCTGGTTTTGTAGAGCACCACAACGTGGCCAGGTTGAACCTTGAGCTAATTACTTGTGTGCTAAATCAGTTTAGAGTTTTTCCACGCGGTCCGCCCCACGATTGCCCCGTGAGGAGTTGTCCCCTCGCCTCGATTTTCACGCTGATCTCGGCACCAACTGGTCCGAGTTGATCCCGCGACGTCTCCTCGCGGTAATGTCGTCCAGTGCCCGTGCTGTTGTGAGGAAGCTCCAGCGTGACTCCAGGCATTTGACTGCAGCGGCGCGGTTGTGTAGAGGGTGTCCGCTGTCTTCAATTTGCCGCCTCGCCGTTTGACTCGCCATAGTTCTCCAGATGTCTGCTGGTGCTATTCCAGTGAACGTGTAAAAATTTTGGCGAGGATGTGTTTGACAGAGGAGAGGACCTCGACGTTGGTAGCTACAACTGTCAGTGCTGGCCCTAAGAGGGATCAGTCTTACAGTGAGGGAAAAAAGTATTTGATCCCCTGCTGATTTTGTACGTTTGCCGACTGACAAAGAAATGATGAGTCTATAATTTTAATGGTAGGTTTATTTGAACAGTGAGAGACAGAATAACAATAAAAAAAATCCAGAAAAATGCATGTCAAAAATTGTATAAATTGATTTGCATTTTAATGAGGGAAATAAGTATTTGACCCCCTCTCAATCAGAAAGATTTCTGACTCCCAGGTGTCTTTTATACAGGTAACGAGCTGAGATTAGGAGCACACTCTTAAAGGGAGTGCTCCTCGTCTATGCTTGTTACCTGTATAAAAGACACCTGTCCACAGAAGCAATCAATCAGATTCCAAACTCTCCACCATGGCCAAGACCAAAGAGCTCTCCAAGGATGTCAGGGACAAGATTGTAGACCTACACAAGGCTGGAATGGGCTACAAGACCATTGCCAAGCAGCTTGGTGAGAAAGTGGTCCGATGAGACCAAAATGGAGCTCTTTGGCATCAACTCAACTCGCCGTGTTTGGAGGAGTAGGAATTCTGCCTATGACCCCAAGAACACCATCCCCACCGTCAAATATGGAGATGTAAACATGCTTTGGGGGTGTTTGTCTGCTAAGGGGACAGGACAACTTCACCGCATCAGAGGGACGATGGACGGGGCCATGTACTGTCAAATCTTGGGTGAGAACCTTCCCTCAGCCAGGGCATTGAAAATGGGTCGTGGATGGGTATTCCAGCATGACAATGACCCAAAACACACGGCCAAGGCAACAAAGGAGTGGCTCAAGAAGAAGCACATTAAGGTCTTGGAGTGGCCTAGCCAGTCTCCAGACTTTAATCCCATAGAAAATCTGTGGAGGGAGCTTAAGGTTCGAGTTGCCAAACGTCAGCCTCGAAACCTAAATGACTTGGAGAAGATCTGCAAAGAGGAGTGGGACAAAATCCCTCCTGAGATGTGTGCAAACCTGGTGGCCAACTACAAGAGACGTCTGACCTCTGTGATTGCCAACAAGGGTTTTGCCACCAAGTACTAAGTCATGTTTTGCAGAGGTGTCAAATACTTATTTCCCTCATTAAAATGCAAATCAATTTGTAACATTTTTGACATGCGTTTTTCTGGATTTTTTTGTTATTCTATCTCTCACTGTTCAAATAAACCTACCATTTAAATTATAGACTGATCATTTCTTTGTCAGTGGGCAAACGTACAAAATCAGCAGGGGATCAGATACTTTTTTCCCTCATTGTAGGTCATTGGTAGTTTTTTTTCTTGGTAACCAGTGTTGGTAGGACTAACTGCGACATGGACACTTGAACTGTGACCTCTATGGTTATATTCCAGTGATTCTATTCCATAAGCCCATTCATTCCAATCCTGATTTCAACATCAGCATGTTTGGTTTTATGCCCAACATGGTTAATTAACTTTGTTTTGCTATAAGTGTTTAATGTGCCAATTGTTGTTTCAGATCACTGGTAAGAATAATTCTCACAACCAAATTTAGTCAGAAAAAAATGTGATTTGTAATCTAATTTTGAAATGTGATTGTGAGAATTGTTATTCACCTTACTGGTCAGCTGAAACGATAATTCGCTCTGTCGGGTGGTGAAGGGTTTTAACGACACATGTGGCCAAATCATTAATTACACGATTACTTGGAAACAAAACTGAAAGCGTAAATACTGTCGTGTAAATAAATCGGTAAAATTATTGCTAAGACTTTGAAGGGAGATGAATGTGAGCAGCTGTGGCGAAAAGGGGAAACTGTGATTACAAGTAAACAATGCGACTTGAGAATAAAATGTTCCTCTTTGCAAATGGCAACAGGGCAAGCTGGCCAAAACAGAATATTCCTCACATCCCCTCCCAAAAGTCGTAGCCCAGCTCGAAAGTTTACTGTATCGATGGAACCGCATTCAAGAAGCCTGTACTGTGCAGGTGTGTCATTCTTCGCGTGTTATTCTGCATTCAGACGTTTGTTATATGGGTTATTTACAAATTCAAGTTATTGTTGCGTGTAACGAGTTGCGTTGTACAAGGTGTGTTGGGATATATGATTTTGTGTGGTGGGCATGTGAGCGCTGTGATTGGCTGTTCGTGCTCATGGCAAGGTTGCCCCTCCCCCGTGACGATCCGACACGACCACTCATCCCGTGGTCAGCGTTTTGTGAATTACGTACTTGCGAGTGCAGTGGCGGTGCAGTGGTTAGCACAGTGTACTACTGTTAACCCTTTTACCTAAGTTTCTAATCCCTAGCCACAACTCGTGTCAGCGATGAGACATATCTGAACCAGTCCTGTGAACATTGTGAAACTTGATAAATTGTGGTTTCATTGAATTGTTGGTGTGGAATTAAAAGTGTGTGTATATTGTAATAGGTTTTTACCATTTTATCTGGCACCAAAACTGACACCTTTATACAAGGGATCATGTTTGCAATAACCACAACACAAGCCGTCAAAATGCAAACAAAAAGAGACAACTCTGATAATGATATGCATTGTCCTTGAAATTGATTGGTCCACACCCGAGACGGCTTTTCTTAGAGCCTAGTCTCCACTGGTGTTCGACTAGATGGACCAGATGGTCACCAGTGGAGACTCAGCTCTAAGAAAAGCCGTCTCGGGTGTGGACCAATCAATTTCAAGGACAGTGCATATCATCAGAGTTGTCTCTTTTTGTTTGCATTTTGACTGCTTGTGTTGTGGTTATTGCAAACATGATCCCTTGTATAAAGGTGTCAGTTTTGGTACCAGATAAAATGGTAAAAACCTATTACTATATCTTGCTACTGGCAAAGGAGATCTCATAATGTGTGTATATTCCTTACATCGAGTTTTAGTAATTAATGTGCAGTGACTTTGATGCTGCATTCTATATCGAGCAGTGATCAAGTTCTTTATTTTTCGGTTGTCCCTGTAATCATCTGTCAAAATGTGTCGTAAGACCCTTCACCAAACATAGCGAAACAAATTAAATTGTCAAGTGTACAAGCGTTTAACTTGACACTGAGCCGTGCAGAAGTGGCTCACCCCTCCAATAAAGTACTGTGGAGGCAGCGAGGGTTTGTGGATCGCACAGATGTTGTGAAACTCCCTTCACGTGGGCGTTGAGGGGGAGCCATACCCTTGCTCGCCAAGAGAATTCGGTACAGCAAATATCGACCCCATCAATTCCATCTGTATAGGATAGAGTGTTGCCCCTTGGGTTAGTGCTCGGTTCAGTGACGGCGAGCTCGGGTCGGTAACAGAGGGGGGTTGGGGATGCTGCTCGCAGGCCTGGAGTGCCGTCCTTAAAGCCGCGTTTCCTTTTCGCGGCGCTAGGTGGCACGCACGTGTGTGAGCCAGTGCGTGGGAGGCAATTCATCCTAATACTGTACTCCTTCACATGCTGACCCTCCACATACAACTTTTTTTTACAGATCCCATCAGCGGCACGACCCTCTAGGCAGTACAGAACGTCGGCCGCATTGGTTCAACATAAGCAAAATTTAACCGATTTCGACATTCAGTATCTCATCAACAGAGTCGGACTTGCATGAACCTTTGGTTCAGCACTAGCAAACCTTCGGACGGGTTTTCACATTCAGGGCCTCATCAGCAGTCAGGCATTCTTGCACCAATACTGGTGAACTGCCAAATGTTTATGGGCAAGGACTCCCTCTCTGTGAGATATGAGCCCTAGTTTGACGCACAACGCTACAATACACAATAACCATTCGCGTCGTTGAGAATATAATCAACGAAACGACTTTGGTTTGTTTTGGATATTTTCCACAACAACGCGAAGGATGCATTAGGAGGCAAGTTTTGGTGAACGAGATGTGAAACTCGCACACGCTGGCTGTGTGATGGAGGTGACCTGTAGATGGCAGTACAGCAAGTTGAGTCGCTTAACCCCCCCCCCCCCATCTCATTCCCTGCGTGTTCTCCAGGCACTCAAGTATTTAATTCACATGCAAATTGCAAAACATTCGGATATACAAATTCAGGGTGGCAGCACAGTTGTAACACTCGTTCCTCAGCAATAAATTCCTAGGTTCAATTTCCGACCCGGACGCCATCATTCTGTAGAGAGGTTGATGTTCTCCACCCGTTCTGCATGGGTTTTCCTCCTGGTTCTTCGTTTTCTTC